ATAAGAATGTATCCAACATGTTTTATAAAAGTTCAAGAAGTTATTTAATATGTTTTGGATTGTTCAAGGAGTTATTTGTTTCAAAAATTGTCCAAGGACTTATTTAACATTTTTTGGAATATTCAAGGACTTATTTAACATATTTTGAAATGTCCAATGACTTATTTAACATGTTTTGGAATGTTCAAGGACTTATTTGTTCCAAAAAAAAGTTCAAAAACTTAATCATTCCAAACAAGAAAGTTCATTCGTTTTTATTGTACTTTTACCTTCAAATGAATGATTACCTGAAATTCCTATTTCTTTTTTCATTTTTTATTTTTTGAGTTTCCAGAATCTCCCTCTTAACCTTTATACAATTTTCACTCGTTCTTTTTCAAATGTTAATTTGGAATTCCCTCGATTTTATGTCGGTACAGGAAAGATGTCAGAATTTTGGCATCAATCGAGCGATTATGGAGTTCTGTCATTCTCGGAGGGAAAATAATCAGGTAGAGAATGGATCGCCGAATATGGAGGAGACTTTTACCGAAATCGACGGTGTGAACGGAGTAGCCGCCGTGTCCTTTTTGCAACTTGCACGGCCTCTGTCTGCAATCTGCATCAGAAATTGCATCGACGATGGAAGGTGACACAATTGTCATAGGAGATGCCTTGAAATCATATATTTCTTTAGAAGAAAACAACACGTGGTCGGGGGAGAACCAATGTTGATTCGTTATCAAGGTACAATCACCATTGTGGTTTATATTTATGATCTGATTGCGACCTAAATTTGTCTGCATTATATGAATTGTGTATATACAATTAAATTTGATTATTCATACAAGAATACAATGAAGGATAAGGGATTCGTGACCGACGATTTAACCTTTTTTTCTTGAAGTAAAACTTATAGATTCGTTTGTCTCTTTCTTTGTTGCTGTTAACAGTCGACTTACCATTTCTCCGTTATATACATTGGAACCTCCTTTTTTTCCCTCGAGAGCTGTAGTTTTCCATCAAGTCCTGTATCGATAAAAGTTGTTTGTGTGGATTAATCTAATTGTATAGATAAGAAAGGTTTTTGTTTGAGATTGTTTTTTCATAGACAGGAGGAGCGTGTTTTTAATTGGGAGGGACAAGTTTTGTATATAGCTCCCCCGTAAGCTTACCGAACAAGTCACTTTCTATATTATTAAGTCACTACCAAATTGTCATGTATAGTTAATCGAAGAAGTTGTGAGTTCATTAAGCTTATTAAACTGCTAACTAACAGGCCTTAAGGGTTCTATATATTCTTACATGGTATTAGAGGCAATGTTTACCATCTATGGGTTGATGCTCCGGGCAATCTGTGCTTGTTTAGCCTCCTCTTGGCAACCTGCATTGACTAGCCTCTATTGGAGAGGGTGTGCTAAAGTGTCATGTGAGCTAGATTTGGACTATTTCTCCTCTATATGTATTGGAACCTCCCTTCTCTCCTTGATGACTCTTTTGGAGAGTTATCTGGGGTTCCATATATTCATGGTTTCCCTTACCATTTTCTAGAAACTAGACCTTTAAGATTAGGAAATTTGAATACAAAATAACACCAGGTTGCAGGTGTATAACTTCTATCAATTCAATTATCTTTTGTGCTAGTGTAGAACCAAATTGACTCACTGACTGTTTGGATCCTTCATAAGAAATTGGAAGGGTAGCAATAAGAAGAAGTGAACACCCATTTTGCCTCCTCTGTTTGAAGTAACACCTGGTTCAGTCTAGCTAAGGATTTCTCCTAATTGTTTGCTGGTTCATTCCAAATTTAAGAAGCCAAACGTGTAAAGCTCCTCGACCGACATAAGACTCGACTTGTTAGATATTACGGAGGTTTAGTGAGCACCATGCCGAATTTCTCTACCATTTTCTTCTTTTTCACTTTGGCCAATATGAGTTTACCTGGTACTCATGAACCTCTGAAACCAGAAAAACCGGTGGGCCTAGAGGTGAAACTGTATCCATCTTTTTCTTGTCGTTTTCCTTTTACCACCCACAACATTATCGTGAAGTCTTTTAAATTTTTTTCTTCCACCTGGTAGATAGGTGTTGTAGGTGGTGCTTTCATTCTCTTTCGCCCTGGAAAGGGGATTTAATGAGACTTTTTGATCATTCATCTTCTTTCTCCCAAGTAGAGGCGGACCTAGAATTTTTTTCAAGTGGTGGCACCATTTGACAATAAGATACCAATATATGGATATTTTTTTCACAAAATCATCATTGGTCTGTTGGTTAGTTAATTGTTTTTCATATATGAGGTCCTGTGTTCAAGTCTTTTATTGCAATTTTTTTTTCAAAAACATAATAAATCTTAAATTATAAGCTAAAACTAAGAAAATGACATTGATGAGATTTGAACTCGGGTCTGGGGTGGAAGAAAAGCCTTGCAAACCAACTCTACCAAGGGAAACATATACGGTGGCACACAACAAATGGATACGATGGCACTTTTCACGACCCTATAAGTTTTTACACTACGATGGAGGTACGAAGTGGTGACCCCTGCCACCGTATCCAATAGAGTGGGTCCGTCCCTGCTTCTGGTTCAGGTTATTTAGCTCAATGACCTGACCTCCTGCGACAAGTGCCTTTTAAATTGGTGATCTTCTAACAGGAGGTCATTTAACCAGAAGACCCGCCTGGTTCCCCCCTTTCCTTATGCGTAGGTGTGTAAACGAGTTGAGTCGAGCAGCAGGTTATTCGAGCTTTGCTCGAAAAAATTATATCAGGCTCGAGCTCGGCTCGAAAAACATACCAGACTCGAGCTCGATTCACCTTTTCAAAGTCGGGCTCGAGCTCGAATACTTTTTGAATGTTTGGGCTCGAGCCCGATGCTCGTTTATGAGCTCGAATTCGAGATCGATTGACTCGTTTATTTACTCAATCTCGATGATTTATATATTCTGATTATATAGTATTTAAAGATATAAATATGTTTGGTTGGAAAAAGTGTATGCTCGAATGGCTCAGCTCGGCTCGACTCGTAAAGTTTAATCGAGCTTTTGAACGAGTCGAGTTGAACATTGGTGTTATGGAATGCGACTTGTTAAGTTAGGCGATACTTTATTTTGTGTTTGAGATCGACTTGAGCTCGAGTAGCTCGTTAAAAGCTCGACTCGTTTACACCCCCACTTATGCGTTTGCTTGTTAAAGCGAAGAGGGGGGGGGGGAGGTTGAAATTTATAACATTTTGTCTGCACAGGGTCCTTCCTACTGCTAGTAATGATTAAAGGTTCCCCATCCACACTTCCTATACCTCATGGGAAGGATTTGCTAACAAGTTATGAATTCACAAAGTACTTGTATCAAATATAGTGTTCAAGGCTGTGCATTTAGGAATTGATGAACTAACAGGACCCACCCAAGACCCCCAAAATACAAATACTAGCCAATCACAACCTCATTTTTAATATCAACTTGTTATTTGATATAATTTGTTCTATTTTGGTCCTGTTATTTCATTGGTTAGGCATTTTAAAAGGGAACTATTGATGATTTTCAAGCATCTTTTCCTCGCTACTGCATGCAACCATTTAGGCCATTTTTGGCAACCAAAAGCTAGCATATTTTTTAGCCTATTGAAAAAACCTCGGTTGGTTAGCCGTATGCTAGCTTTTTGAAAAGCTATTTCAAGTACCGTTTCAATAAGCTCTAGGTTTTTTTTTCCACTTCCTTTTCCCAAATTATGCCCTTTACATTTTTTCAACATGTTCTTTTAAGTCATTTTACATTGTCATCTAGCTTTTATCAAACATGCCTAGTTTTTCAGCTCATCAGCTAATTCGCTAAATATAGCCTTAGCCATATTTTCTTGATCAACACTCTCCTTTTCCTTTGAGGAGGATATTCCATCATGTTTGGGCCACAAATTGAAGATGTTGGCGTGTGTGTTGTTCTATTGGGGGGGATCATCCTTCATCTTTTGAGGTAAAGACAAAAAGGACAGTGATGATATGTTGTTTGTTTGGTTATATTCTTTGTGATGTACTGATATGACCGTGTGATAGAACTTTATCCCCTCCTAGTCCTTGGCCATTTTCATGGAACTGAGCTATATTCCCCCCCACTTTTGTTTCTTATGTCAACACATGAATTTATATGATAGATTGGTGGTTTCTTGTGTTAGAAATAGGGAGTTTCTTTAGTGTGTACCGTGTACTTCTTAGCTTGATAGACACTTTGCATTCTTCTATAACTATGTCTTCAAGGAAAAGAAAACAACTTCCTTTTCCTCATATGTGGCCTATAACTATGCTTTATGGATATGTTTTTTTAATATCTTTTTTACAAGTGGAGGTCTTCTAGGAAACAGTCTCTTTGTCTCTTGGGACGGGATTTTTAGGTATATAACCTTAAACGAGATTTTAATTAAATCCATGATCTTCTGATGAGTATGAAGCCATTTTTTCTTTAATAGGCCATGAGGTCATGGATTTAATTAAAAAAACTCATAGAAGGTCATATCCGTAAATGACCCATTTGAAACATCCGCGCGAAAGTAAAATTCTTAGCCAAGAGATGATGCATAAACTTATTCATCCAACTAGGACACTATTATGATCATTAGTATCTACAAAATCATTCATAGGTGCACATAAACGAACGAATGAAAGTGCCTTATTGAAATGCTTTGCCTTGGTGCCAAGATATTCACTCCATGTGACGGATCGGTAGAGAGGAGGATGGACATTGTCGGTTAATTTCGATAGTGGTGAAATTCGAACATTAGATGGTGGACCATAGAGATAAGCTATAGAGAACCGGTGTTGGGTTTGGTTAACTATGGCCCGATGGAGTACACTTGTATACAACCCATTAGATAGTATATGCAGCAAGTCACCTACATTTACCACAAGTGCCCCTGCTATGGGTTTGACCGTAATCCAACCAAATCCTTCCCTATGAACCTGCAATCCACTTGTATTGTTTTGGTGCAGGATTGTGAGGAGGGTTGAGTCTGTATGAGCCCCAAGGCCCATGGCTCGATCCGGATCTGGGCAAGCTGGGTAAGAATTTAACTGCAAAGCAGGACTTGCTTCTTTTAGCTCTCCTCCTGGACCCGCCCAGTTTATGTCTCCCCTTGTTATACCCAATGACCCGAGGATTAGCCACATCAACCTATTGGCTAATTTGTTCATCTCCTTCTTGTAGTCTTCGATTAATTCACTGGAGAATGACCAAAACAAAGTGTCAGTCATATTCGACTGTCACCTGCACTACAACAAAATCGACTTTATAGGACAACAAATATGTTTAAGGGGCTGTTTAGTTGGTTTTCCATTAAGTTCTGTATAGATAAAGCTGTCTTTGTGGATTAATCTGTCTGTATAGAGGGAGAAGGTTTTTGTTTGGGAGGGTTTTTCATAGATGGAAGGAACGTGTTTTTTAATTGGGAGGGACAGGTTTGAGAAAACCTTGGCTTTCTGCATAAAGCTCTCCCATAAGCTTACTTGATAAGCCACTTTATAATCATTAAGCCACTACTAAACAGTCATGTATAGCTGAACAAATAAGCTGTGAGTAAGCTTCCAACGAACACACAAATGTCCTAATAGACTGCTTTGTTCGATTAAGCTTGTGTGTCTTATGTAATAGGTACAAGTGTTACAAGAAGTTAACTTGATATGACACTTTTGGGTGTCCTAACAAGTTTTTAAGACACATTTGAAATAAAACATTCTATTAGTCTTTTCATATGACGTTATATGGAAACATGTCTTATAAAAACAAGGCCCTATAGAAAGATGTGTTCACATGGCACTTCTCAAAGTGTCATAAAAAAAACTAATTGGACATATATCAAGTGTTCTGAAAAACTTTTTAAACGTCCCATCAACTTATTATAACACTTTTAAATAGGATGCACAATTGTTTGACTTTGTAAACACAAGTACTATAAAACAGTCTATTAGGACGTTTACACATAGTTGGTGTCCTATAAAACCGTTTTTGTTGCCATGCACTTTGTGTCAAAATAGAATCAGCTGCAAATGAATTTCTTCTGGTACATGTTGTTTATTTTATTCAAATATCGGATAAAATTCAGGCTTGAACTTATGATTCTTAAAGTTGATCTTTTTGAAGCTCTTTCCTTTCAGTTCCAAGTAAATCAGAATGTTGAGGTCAAAATAGTAATCTTCCAAGAAAACATCTTCTAGAATCACCTTATCAAAATTACGTGAACACATCTATTTGAACGAGCACATGCATGAACTGGTAGGTTTATTTGAAGGGGGTGGGTTCGAATGAGAAACATAAATATTTTGATAACTGTGAGACCGGGTATATATGCACACCCTGGTAACCCTTCATCTGAACGATATACACATGTGCATAGAAGTAATTGAAGTTGTTTCTTGGTTTCTGTTATGCACATGTGCATACGGTACAAATGAATGTTTACCAAGGTGTTCCTCAGTTTTTCATTTTATTGCGGTTTTCCCCTGAACCCGACCCTATGCATATATAATATCCTATCAAAATATGTATCTGTCAACTAGTATAGTCATCAATGTATATATACTGGTTCTTACGGTTTTCAAACTATGTATGATTCTCGAACCTTCCGCTTATTTGAAATGATGGTAACTTTATTGTGCCTGAAAATGAAAATGGAAGATTCTTACCAGAAGTTCTTATAACCTTGGGGCCACAGTTTTTCAGCATGTTCATGTGGTGATCCGATGATGGTGAAACCCTCGGACCACATGAGTTTTGGGAAAAAAGACGATATCCGAGCAACACCATATCCAGAAAGACCATCTGGAGACCGAGCAGCTTTTAGTTTTTGTTGGATTGGGAGAGAAAATAGTTTTCTTCCAGAAGCTTCCATGTTATTAAGAAGATCTGTAGGGATGCCATGGTTGATCAGCTGAAATACACCCCATGTTTTGCATGCATGGCCAACATGTTTAATGGCATTAAGATCTTCAAGATTAATCACTGGAACTGGCTCTGAACTGCAAGAGGACGGGCAGCCATCCGCTGTGGACCATGCATATGAATCAGGCAGTTCTTTCACTGAATTTAAGTCCAAATGTCTGAAAGCATCCAATGGTTTTAAAGACATCTTAGAGAAAGAGGGGTTTGATACTAATAGGAATAGTTATGGCAGAAGGAAAATGGTACTATGTGTGAAATATGGTTGTGACTGAAGAATGAGGAAGATGTGGTGGAAATTTGATGTGGATACTATACACACACACACACATATATATAGAGGACAAATTAAATACAAACCATGGAAAGGTTACAAACCATACAAACCAATCAATTAGATGAAGGTTCATTTATTATGATTTGAGTATTTATGGAAGATGATTAGAGTTCATTAGTTATGATCAACGCTTTATATTAGGAAACTATCATATATTTATTAAACCAAATATTCGTTTGGCTAGATGGACGGTTGAGATTGGTTTGTATGGTTTGTAATCTTTCCATGGTTTGTATTTGATTTGTCCTCTACTATATATATATATATATATATATATAGAGAGAGAGAGAGAGAGAGGGGGAATGAGAGAGTCAGGTTCATATGAGAACAATAAGAGAATAAGAAAACATTTGAATCACATGTGATTTGTTCGTTTTCATGATCTCTTATTTAGTTATTGTTTTCGGTTGAACCTCCCTCTATATATATAACGGGTTGAGAATAGAAGTGACAAAAATGGTGGGCTATAATACAAAGATAATGAACAGTCTTGGATGAGTTTTAAGAGGTGTTTATGCGGGTTATTTAGCTAATTGATCTCTTGACTAATGCTATTTAAATCCGTTACCTTCTAACGAGTTTCTAGGCATTCTTGTATATGGAAGTGGCATCATCCAATCTGTCAGAAGGTCAAAAAACTTAACAAAAGGTCAAGGACCCTGTTTATGTTACTTTGTTGCAAATTTGGAATCCAATTTGTGAAAATTCCAATAAATAGTGTCCTACTTAGGGCTGTTTAGTTGGTTAACTCGTATATGAATAAAGTTGTTTGTGTGGATTAATCAATTTGTATGGATTGGAAGGTTTTTGTTTGAGAGGGTTTTTTCATAGATGGAAGGAGCGTGTTTTTTAATTCGGAGGGGGATGTTTGGAAAAAGCTTGGCTTTCTGCATAAAGCTCCCCCCCTATAAGCTTACTGAATAAGCCACTTTTTTTATATCATTAAGCCACTACCAAACTGTCATGTATAGCTGACTTAATAAACTGTGAATCACATTAAGCTGCTAACAAATAGACCCTTAGTGTAATCAAAACGATCCAATATACTCAAGTTTCCTACAATTATATGTTTTATGAATTAGAACTTGGATTTTGATAATGGGACGGATGGCTTAATCGTTGAACGGATGAAGCAGTGTTGATAAGGTGATATAGGATAACTTGTTCTCTACAGAGATTCTAAAAGGTGTTTTCTTGGAAGATTGCTGTTTTTTGACCTCAAATATCCTGATTTATGTAGAATTGAAATGAGAAAGCTTCTCTTTCTCATTCATGTGCATTTGTCTGTCTTCAAGCAGGAATTTATCAGTTCTGTTACAAGACAAAGGTGATGATTAGAGTAAAAGAATCTGTCTCTGCTAATGATTAATGATCCATAATTGCCTCGTTATCCTCCCGATACTCGTTATCCTGAAATTCACACGAGACGTGTTGAAATATTTTATAAATGCATCCATGAAATTTCTTATTGTTTACTCTTTGGTTCCGTTTGATCTGCACGTTACATATTAGATTTTTCTGATCGAGCATCTACATAAAGTTTCAGGACTGACGGCAATAAGGGAAATACCCGAGCATCGATTGGTAAACAGAACCGTCACACGCCCGGGTAGAATATACTCTCCTGTAGATTTATTTTTATATTTGCCGTAAATCACAACATACAAGGACGAACCTAGTGTATTGGATACGGTGGCACAGACCACCTCTTTGTTTCTCCATCGTAGTGTAAAAAAAATATAGGGTCGTGAAAAGTGCCACCGTATCAATTCGTTGTATGCCACCGTATAAAATTTTGAAACTAAAATGACGACACAAGTTTCCCTTAGTAGAGTTTGTTTGCAAGACTTTTCTTCCACCGCAGACCCGAGTTCGAATACTGTTAGTGTCATTTTTTTGTTTTAGCTTTTAGTTTCATATTTATTATGTTCATATTTTTTTTTGCAATAAAAGACTTGAACACAGGATCTCACATATGAAAAAGCAATGAACTAACCAATAGATCAATGATGATTTTGTGAAAAGTATCCCTATATTTGTTTAGTCAAATGGTGTTACCACTTAGAAGAATTTCTGACAACGCATACGACAACTTCATGGAGTTTGGTTTAACTTTAATAATGTTGTGTTTTGATTGAAATGCCGAAACTAAGTGCCCGTTTGTCGTTTCCTTCGGTATTAACATAATGCCGTTCTAGAAATGTGTTTTCGGGATGTTGTGTTTGTTGCTTTTCCTATTCGATTTTGTGGAAATCTTTTCTGCTTGGATGGAATATTTCGTTTTGTTTTAAATGTACCTACTCGTACGTTTTCTTACTCTTTTTTCTCGTTCTATGATTACTATTTGCTAGTCATTACTCGTTCTATCCTTTTTGGTCGTAGTATTGTATAAATTTGCGGTTTTCACGGATCCGGCCGGTCTATTCTTTGGCAGTGGCGGACCCACGATTTTGCTCTAGCGGGTGCACCTTAAGGTGGATCAAAGGCATGTAAAGTCACCGTATGATCTTGTGGAAAAGTCAACGTGGTTTGAACTGGGGATAGATAAGTCAATTGTGTCGATTTGGGAGTAAAATACATTTTTCCAAATGGATGACCTTTTGAGCAAGACGTAAGACTACATCTTTGAGCGTAAACACGATGTGTTCTTAACCGAATTTCACCTTTTTGAGGGATTTTTTCAGTAGTTTGGTTGATTTCGAGGGATTTTTAAGATTTTTGGTTGATTTCAAGGGACTTTTTAAAGATTTTTGGTTGATTTCATGTGACTTTTTCGGTTTTTTGGTTGATGTCCCTTGTATTTTTTAATATCCCGGAGCACCCCTCAAAGTTTAATGTGTGCACCTTTCATACCCCAAAAAAGTCTACTTGCAAAAATCGGTTGAGCAGATGCATGGAGAGCCAATGACTATATATACATCTTACTATCCACACCCTACTTCTAAGTGGGATATACTGGGTCAATTTGCAGGGCAGGCCTATATATGAAGGTCAAATGGGTCTCATGCACGTACTCAACTGATTTTCACAAGTAGATATGAAAGATGCACCCACTAAAATTTGAGGGGTGCTCCGGATATTAGAAAATAGGCATGGCAACGGGGCGGGGATGGGGCGGGTTTTATAATCCCCGGCCCCAGTCTCCGGCGGGTATGGGGATTATCATCCCGTCTCCGGTCAAATCTCTAGCAATCCCTGGTCAAACCCCATAAGTAGTATCCTTTAGTTTGATTCTACCGGGGATCCCCGGGACCCGTTTTAGCGGGGAATCCCCGTCCCTGTTCGGGTCGAGTGAACCGGGTTCCCCACTGGGTCGGGACAAATCACCATCCCTATTAGAAAACACAAGGAGCATAAACAAAAGAACTGAAAAAGTCTATCCGTATTCATCCAATTTTTTTTAAAGCATCCCTCAAAATCAACCAAAAAACTTAAAAAGATCCCTTGAATGGTGGAATTTAGCTAAAAACACATTAAACAGATTTTACAGGCCTCTGATCCATCTTAAAAGTTCACCCGCTTAGCAAAAATCTTAGACCCGTTCGCTATCAGTTTAGTTCGGTCGGTTCGGTTCGGTTCGGTTTTACTCGAACTCGGTTTGTCAGACCAGTTTCTAACAAGTCCAGTCATAAGCTAGATACAGATTATATCAAGGCTTTGCATGCATGTTATTTCTCTGATAGAATGGACCGACACAATAGGAACAAGTTTGAAAATATGGGGAAGGGTATTTTTGTCCTTACATGCTCTTTATTTTTATTTTAAGTCATTTTCATGAAAAATATTGCACAAGTCTTTTTTGGTATTATTCCAAGGGCTGATTAGAGCCTTTTTGTTTCACTCACCAGGTGGGCTCCCAACAATCACCTCCACCGGAGAAATAATACAATAAAGTATGTTTTAACTCATCTAATCACTTATAATTTCTAGACTAAATTACCCTTTTCGTCCCTATGGTTTGTTAAAAACTATGATTTACGTCTCTGTAGTTTAGAAATTATGATTTCCGTCCTTATGGTATGCAATTCGTTGCTATTTTGGTCCCTGAGCCTGTAGCATCGTAGGTTAACCGTAACAGATATTGTCTGTTTTGTCCATGCATGTGGACGCACGGATTTAAAACGTGTATGATGGAGGAGGGTATGAAGCACTCTTATAGTCAACCTTTGTTCCTCTCTCCAATCGATGTGGGATCTTACAATCCACCCCCCTTGGAGCCTGGCGTCCACACTGCCACACTCGTTCGTTTTCCAGCTCTGATACCATCTATAACATCCCAGGATAACCGTACCAGGGGAAAACATGTCTTATAGATGAGATATCAATCCCCTTATAAGGCAACATTTGTTCCCCTTCCCAACCGTTGTAGGATGTTACCATCCACCCCCTTGGGAGCCCAGTGAGGATGCTGGTGCACCAGTTTGGTTCCATCTGTAATATTCCAGACTAACCGTATAAGATATTGTTCGCTTAGTCCATTCACTTGGAATCACGGTTTTAAAACGCTTCTGATAGACAGGATATCAAGCCCTTATAAGACAACTTTTATTCCCCTTTTCACCCGGTGTGGGATCTTACAATATGCCCCCCTTGAGAGACCAACATTCAAATTAGCGTACAATTAATACATCCCAAGCTAAGCATATCAAATATGTCCGTTTTGTCCACACACCTGGACTCAAGGTAGTAAGACGCGTCTGATAGATGAGGTATCAAGCCCCTTATAAGACAACATTTGTTCATTTCCCCAACTGATGTAGGATCTTACAGAGCTTAACTCCTACCTTTCAAGTACAATGAACAAAAAGAAAAACAAAGAACTGTAATTTGTAAACCACAAGGATCAAAACAACACTAAATTATAAATCACAAAGACCAAAATACCAATTAATCGTAAACTATAAAGACAAA